TGACCAACAGGCTGAGATGGGGCTGTTTGCAGTGAGGGGTGTCAGGTCAAATAAAGACAAGCTCTGAGTTTTCAGTGAGGCACCAAGCAGGTCAAATCCTGACAATTCCCTGTAATGGGCTATTGGGGGAGCCTCAACCCCCTTCCCAGGCTACTAAACTGCTGGTTTTCACAGCTACGATAGTTGCAAGGCTATTCGTTTTCAAGTCTACCCTGGAACTGGGAAAACAGGGATGGGCAATTTAAAATGCTACAAAACTTGTGAATACTTTTTAAGATTGTTAGAAACCTTTAGTTTTTAGAGTTCTTAAAAAGTTGATACAACTTTTACAGTTCTCATTGCTTTTATGGAAGAGCAGGTTTTCATAGTTAATTTCCTTAATTACATTAATTCAGAAGCATTTCAAGGAAGTCATTATAGTTACAACAATTGAACACTAATTAATATCCTTATGTTTCTAAGATTTAAAAAAGCAAGCATTTCTAAATAGAAAAGTGACAGGGATTTAAAAAATGACTCCCTTTCTCATCTGACACTTCAATTATTTCATGTTTAGTTATCCAAGTCAGATTTCTGAGCTTCAGTTTTCTCAAATGTACAAGGGAAATACTGTCTTCCTCACAGGGTTCAGAAGATTTAAAATATGTCAAACTATTACAAAGCTACAGTAATGAAAACAGTATGTTACTGATACCGTTGTAATAATCTGGTTATTAACAGGAAAGAAAGGGAAGACTAGATAATACAGACATGCCATTCATACAGCTTTGCTACAGAGCTGCAATTTAACACTCTCTAAGTCTTTTCCCCACTTCAGTCACACCTGGGAACAAGTCAGAGGCCAAAATAGGGTGCAGAGCCTGAATATTTAAACTCCTAGACAAAGGGAATTAGCCCTCGACTCCTACTGCAGGGGCACATTGCCCTGCATTTGCCCACATAGCCCACAGCCATTTGGACTCCACAGAAGGGACTAATGGATTTAATTGGCCCTAGCTGATCTGGTTCAGTGGTGAGTGTGTCGGTCCTCGGATTGAACGGTCTTGGTTGGATTCCAGTCAAGGGCACGTACCTCAGTTGCGGGCTTGATCCCCAGCCCCAGTCAGAGCGCATGCAGGAGGCAACCAATTGATGTCTCTCTCTCACATTGATGTTTCTCTGCCTTCCACTCTCTGAAAAGCAATGGAAAAAATATTCTCGGGTGAGGGTTTAAAAAAAAAATTATCCTAATGCTACATCGGACCCGGCTTGACCATGGAATGGAAGCTCTGGCCTTCCTTTTGGCTCTGCTGGACCCTCAGTCCTTTTTCAAGATTGGGTTAAGGGGCATAAGACTTTGCAACCCAAGAAATATAATTCCACACCAATAAAAACCATTCACTATCCTTGCAAGAACCTTAGAAAATTCATTTTCTCAAAATATCACAAGAGCAACCCCACACCCATAAGCAACTGGAGAATCTGGCCCACTATTTCTCTGACAACAGTACTAGCAAAAGGACAGTCATATAGTCCAATGGGATACAGAGCACACAAGTAAACCCTCGCATATACTGTCAATTAACTTTTGAATAGGCCGCCAAGACAGTTCAATGGAGAAAGGGCAGTCTTTTCAACAACTGGTGCTGGGAAAACTGGATACCCAAATGCAAACAAAGTTGAATCCTTACCTTTCACCATACCTACAAAACTCAGAATGGATCAAAAATCTAAACGTAAGAGTTAAAACTATAAAACTCTTAGAAGAAAACAGAGGAAAACCTTCATGACACTGGATTTCACAATGTCTTGGATATGGCACCAAAAGAACAGGCAACAAAGAGTAGGCAAATTGGACTTCACCAAAATTAAAAACATCTGTCCATCAAAGGACACTACCAAGAGAATGAAAAGGCAACCCAGAGTAAGAAACTCTTTGCAAATCATAGATCTGATAATGGATTAATATTCAAAATATATAAAGGATTCCTACAACAAAAAATAATTAAAAATAGGGAAGACTTGAATACTTTTCCACAGATGTACAGACAGCCAAGACGCTTAGCATCACAAGCCATTAAGGAAAGGCAAATCAAAACCACAATAATATACACTTTATACCCATTAGTACAGCTATTAAAAACACGTGTTGGTGAGGATGTGAAGATACTGGAATCCTTGCTGTACTCTGCTGGTGGAAATGTAAAATAGTATGGCTACTCTGGAAAAGTCTGGGATTCCTTAAACACAGAATTGTCATACAATCCAGCAATTCACTCCTAGATATATACCCCCCAAAATTTAAAGCCGACTCAAACAGATACGTACACAAAATGTTCATAGCAGCATTATTCACAATAGCAAAAAATGTCCATCAATCTAAGTGTCCACCAAGAGATGAACAAACTGTGTATATACATACAATGGAATATTATTCAGCCATAAAAAGGAATGAAATTCTGATACATGTTACAACATGGATGACACCTGAAAACATATGAAATAAGACAGACACAAAGAACAAATATTGTGATTCCACTTACATAAGGTGACTAAAACAGTCAAATTCAAAGAAAGTAGAACAGAGGTTGTTAGCAAAGGCTGGAGTGGGGGGAGGAAATGGGGAGTTACTCTTTAACAGGTACAGAGTTTGGTATGATAAAAAATAGTTCAGGAAATAGTGGTGATGGTTACACGATATTGTGAATGTACTTAATGCCACTAAACTGTATATTTAAAAAATGATTAAAATGGTAAATTTGGTTACATATTTTACCATAGTAAATTTTTAAATGATAATGTATCCAAAGGCCTCACCACATTTGGTGAGCCTTTTGTTCCTCAGCTGAGATGGTGGTTACAGAATTTATTTAGATAATACTTTATAAAATCTTGGTTGGTAGTTATGATAAACAGTACCCACCCCCAACACACACACACACACACACACACACACACACACAAAACTGCACTCAATATTCTATCAAGTATCTATCTAATACCTATAGCTGTATTTTGCAAAGGACTGCACATCCAAATGAATTCACTAATGATGCAGAATTTACATCCCCCCAAACTGACAGATAAAAACATACATTTTCTAAGCACAAAGCTTATATTCACAAATAACTTTTTGCTTAAAGACAAAATTTCAATTAATAATCACAATAGGAATTTTAGTTATTTAATGCAACCACTAATCTAATGGCACCAAAAAAATCTAAACAGTTATATTGCAAAACCAGGGTTATACTGAGTGGACATGCATTAATAGTCTATACAATGTAACATTACACCAGAAAAAGTAATTGAATACAAAATTTCCCTTGACTTTTGGTGGTTTTCAAATTTCATGGCACAGATTACCAAAACAACTATAAAAACAGATTTTAAGTATTTTCAGTAAAATGGTAAAAAATTTAATAAGCCTTTAAGTTTTCATACTGGGCTGAAGATTTAAAACCTCAAGCTGGCCCCAAAATGTCAAAAATGACAGATAAATAGTTATGACTAGATAGGCTTTAGTTACAATAGTTCTGAAGGGACTAGCCCCCCTGGCAAAAACCCTTTAGGGTTAATTTCTCAATGCAAACATGTCTTTGTAAATACTGTTATAATACAAACTTGGAAACATACTTGAAATCAGAACAGGGATGAAAAAAATAACACACAAGTCCATCTTACTTCTGACCTGCCATCATAAGGCCATCTGGGTCCAAACACTGTCCCTCAATATAAAACTAAATTGAGAAGAGAATTACTTTTAACCTAGTGGCTGACCTTCTACAGAATTATCTTTTACTACATATCAAGGCAGGTCTCAAGCTCTGTTAACTTGCTTCTCTAGAGTGTAATTAGCAGAGCACCAAATTTATAAGCTGATACATGGCAACCCACAATACTAAACACACTTTTCAAACAGAAGAAAACATTTTCCCCATTGTTGGTTCTATGCACCATGTTATTCTTAACTTACATAGCTACCAACATAGAAAGAACTGGGGAAGCTTTGAACATATCTTGTACTTTTCATCAAGGCTAAAGTGCAAAATATCTCCGTATCTCTGGTATTTTAATAGGAAAAATCATCAAACATACATAATGAAGAACCGAAGTGACAGGAGAACTAATACAAAAAAAGCCCTCTTTAAATATATACTTGAAGACTACATAAGACCAATATTTCTTTTTTGAGTGAAATCTATAAATGAAACAAGTTCTCAGTGAACTTGAGATTTTGTTTGATTCTCCTTCCCAGGATCAGAAATTCCAAAATTAGGGGGCGGGGAGTGGGAAAAAATAACATTGCATGACAATGGACACTAAGTTCATAAAGAACCTTTTTTTAAAAAATGATAGTACGGAAGAAAATACCATGAAAACAATAACCCCATGAGAACTGATTTTTAAGCAGTGAATTTGAGCCTTGGTCTTCATGAAGATACTACAGCTTACATAGGAAACTATAAACACACAAGGCTCCAGGAAAAAGTCAAAATACATGTTATTTCACATTTTGTAAAGCCTGAACTTTTGAGGGGAGAAAAAAAGATGGCCAACTGAATCTTAAGAATACAGAACCATGCCCTGGCTGGGTGGCTCAATTGGTTGGAGCACTGTCCTGTACACCAAAAAGTTGCAGGTTTGACCCCTGGTCAGGGCACATACCTGGGCTGCAGGTTTGATCCCTGGTTAGGGCATGTACGGAAGGCAACCAATCGATGTTTCTCGCATTGATATTTCTCTCTCCCCCCCTTCCTCTCTCTGTAAAAACTGATAAAAACATATCCTTGGGTGAGGATTGAAAAAAAGAATACAGAACTGAAAATTACTAGGTCAAAGGGTGCTCCAAATAAATCCATACTTTGTAAAGACATACAACTTAGATATATTTTTTAAAGGAAAGAAAAAGTTCTGAATAACTAGTCCCTTCCAAAAAGGAAGTATTAAATTAAGGGGTAAAGATTCTAATAGTGTAAACGAAGCTGGCTCAGGAAGAAAGCTTAACAACATATCCAAGATACTGTCCATAAAAGTAATGATGATACATCTTTAATAATAAAGAAATAGGCTATAAAAAAGTTCATTCTCCAGACTGGTTTTAGTAAAAGCTCATTTGTGCTCCTTTGTGGGTGCATAATAAAGTTCCATGGGTTTGTTCACTTTCCAGTATTTCTCACTGACCAATTCCAAAGAAAAAGAGCCATTTAATACCTAAAACAGAAAAGGAGAGAAAGAGTTATGAAAATTGCTCAAGCACAGTAATGAGATGGAACATACAAGTCCCTTTTAAAAAAAACCTTAGGATAAACTTCTTGTCGCTTGTACTATTTATAAAACATATCAAAAACTTAACTATCTTGTTCCTGCCCTGCACCGTTTTATTAGGTCCCACCCCACCACTTGCCATTCTCAGATGGTCAATGCCCTCCCAGTTTCAGTGGCCAACTATTTTAAATACTCACAGTGAACTGCCCACTGGCTGTTGCTATGTAAATGGTATACTGCTTCTCACTGGCTGTATCAAGGTTCATCTGGTTTGATTCTCCTTTGCTTCGAAGTTCTTCTAAAGCTAACCTCACAGCCAGATACTTGGATAAGTGATCTACAGTGGCATTACCGGAAGTCTTTATGTATCTGGAAAAGTAAATCATTAGAAATTTAACTTTTAGATTAATGATGAAAATGTACTTAGGTCACAGAACTAATACAGTTGTATAAAATGTAAATATATGTCTCTATTATTGACAAAATAATATCAGAAATTTATTCATCTATTACCNTACAGAACTAATACAGTTGTATAAAATGTCTCTATTATTGACAAAATAATATCAGAAATTTATTCATCTATTACCTAAAAACTTATTATTGAAATTAGACTATCTGTCTACCAGGCCACAAAAGCATCCATAATATATGATATAAAATGTCAAAAATCAAACAAATATACACAGTACTGAGAAAAAGAACATACCCCTGAACCCTAATGATCAAAGTCCTGCTGTCTGTCTACAGCAGCAAGAACAGTAAGAATATGACCAATTTCTTATTATCTAAGAATTCATCAATTTTCTGGTGTTTAAGACTGAGCATGAAAGTGCTAATCTTGGGACTTTTTTAATAAGCATGGTATACTCATCAATTACTCATTGAACAAATATTTGATGCTTATCTGCACTCAACGGCAGGCAGAATCCTGATATACAGTGGTAAAGCAGCCATTCTCATCAGTACGAATTCTGGCGCCTACTGACACCCCCGTATCATTAAGAAATTTAAATGACCCTTTTCCTCATTTAAGAAGGAGGGTAATGTCATTCCTTTCAGATATGCAAGTGTGGATGGGAAGCATGAAGAAAATAACCACCTAGGCAGCAAGAATATCCAAATGAGCCCTGGCAATCAGCTGTATGGCAAATATTGCCCTTCTTTCTTATGCAAAATTGCCTTTTAATTCCCAATTAAATTTTCTGAAGTCAAATAATCTAAAACTAACCTGCACACTTACCTTGTCTGTGCACTGTCATCTTTTTCCATCAGTGTGGGATGAGGCCTGAATACTAACTCAATTTCACTAGCACCATCCATTACTGGATCAATTGCCACTGTTGCATTGTTGTTATCAAGCTCAAGCCCAGAATCATCTGAAGTTTTGGTCCGCTTGTTACTAGGCCCTGCTTCCTGATTGCTATGTGTGGATGCATTACTACAGTGAGAACTGTCACCATTGTCTTCTGCTCCACTGCCATTTTCAATCTGTTGTTTCTTGCCTCGCTGTAATCTAGTTAAGGAAACAAAAAGGGGTTGCAGAAAATTTACATTTATGCATTTTTAATGAATGTTTTGAAGCATATTTATCTAGAAAAATCTTTAAAATTGAATTTGCTTCAAGTTGGATAATGGAATTTATTTCCCACCTGTCCCTGAAAGGTCCTAAAGAACCCACTCAGAGACAGGAAAACACTTAAATGACTTAAACAAATGTTTATATTCACTTAATAACGTTATTTAATGACTGTAGGAATTATTGGCAATCCTTATGTATATTTTGATACATTTTTTGTTATGAGATTATAAATCTAAGGGGAAATATGTATTCCTCTTAATTAGAAATTCTTACAGAAACAAAACTTAAGAAGAATGATAAGGAAATCCTTCCTGCTGACTTCACCCAAAGCCTGCAAGTGCAATGCAAAATTATTCTAATGAGGAAATTCAGAAGCAACTCTCTGACAATCTCAAATACTAAAAATCAATAACTGGGAAAGGCATTTTATCTTATTTACTCGTCAAAACCACCGTCAAGGCATTATCATTTTAGAGTTGAGAAAACTGAGGAAACTGAGGTTTAAGGCCCATGGCTATAAGCTAGTAATTAAGCACCAGAACTAGAGCTAGGATGTGATACACATTCTTTCTACCACACTGCCCCTTTCTCTACCAGTATGAGGGATATAAGATGAAAAAGGAATACAAAAGATTAATGTGCATTTCTAAAAACAGTGTCATTATCAAATGTTTATTGCCAGAACAAGGAAATAATAACCCACTGCTCAGGAAATCTTTTGCTTTCCCCCCCACTCAAAAAAACAAAGTACTGTTTATGAAATCTACAGATTTCAAAACTAAGAAGGGATGACTAATATGTTAAACAACAAAACTATGATTCAGAAAGATACGAACACATACAATGGAATAATAATCAGTCTTAAAAAGGAAGGAAATCCTGCACATGCTATATTGATGAACTTTGAAGACATGATGCTGAGTGAAATAAGCCAGTCACAAAAGGACAAATACCATACGACTGTACTCATATGAGGTACTTAAAGTAGTCAAATTCACAGAAACAGAAAGCAGAATGGTGGTTACCAGCAGCTGAGGGAAGAGAAGGAAATGCGGAATTGTTTCATGGGTAAAGCCTGAGTTTTATAAGATGTAAAGTTCTACAAAATGGTTGCACAACAATGTGAATATACTTACACTACTGAACTGTACACTTAAAACTGCCAAGATGGTTAGCTTTATGTTGTGTTGTACATCACAATTTAAAAAAATAAGGCCAAAACAATAAAACAAACAACTCAACAGTGAAAGGATAAGGGCTATACTTAAATATTTCCTAAAATTTACAACTAAAGCAAAAGAAAAATTGTTTCAGTTGACTATAAAGTAATGTAACAGGGTTACTTGTCCTAATGTATTTATTTTTATCCCACATTTCTTTCCAAAAAAGGTTCAAAGTGACAGAGCTGAATTAATTCATTTCAGGCAGCTTTCAGAAAATGATGGTAGGATAATGGAGATCAATAGCCTATTATATCCTGCATTTATCAAATCATATCCATAATACCTCATACTGTTCTAGAGGTAGCATTTCAAGAATTATGCTGAAAGACTTGAATGTCACATGAGGAACAATTAGAAATGTGAATATTTAAGCCTTTAGAGGAACATAAAAATGTATGTCTATATAAAATTACTTGAAGAACTCGTAGATAAGAGCAGGATCTGAAATAAGCAGAGAATACAATGGAGGTATTTTGACAAAGACAGACCAAGACTGCTGCACACAAGACACTAATTTTATTTCAATATAAATTAAAAACTTTAAAAAAAATTCATGCATTCAAAATATTTACTGAGCAGCTACTTTAAGCCAAGTATGGTTCCATGTCCTGGTGGAATAAGAATCAGTAAAACTGACAGTCTCTCCCCTCGTAGGGCTTATATTGTTTTAGTGCAGTGGATGATAGATAAATGTTAGAGAATGAAAAGTGCTGCAGAGAAAAATAAAGCAGGAGGGTAAGAAAGTGTAGAGTCCTGAGGTGAAAGAGGGGAACTTAAAGAAAGTGAGTGTGCCAAGTGGATTATCCTGAAGAGGGTTTCTGAAAGACAGAACATTAAGTACAAAGGCCCTGAAGCAGAAGCATGCTTGATGGGTATGAAGAACAGTAAGGAAGCTGTAATAAAGTTGTCAGCAAATTAAAGGAGCTCCTACCACTTACTGCCACCACCAGAAATGTTCAAGCAAAACCGAAGGACTAGCTGTAAATAAAGGATTTTGCAAAGAGAATTCTTTCTCCTGGTAAAAGACTGAGTTAAATAACCAATACAGTCTCTTTCTTAGGATTGTGTAATTCTTTTAGAATACATACATTCAAAATTTAATACTTTATAACTATGTATAGTGTAAGGTGAATACTGGAAATATGGGGGGGCACTTTGTAAAGTATATGATTGTCTAACCACTATACTGTATATCTGAAACTAATATAAAATAATATTAAATGTAAAGTGTAATTTTAAAAAAGTGTATTTTAATTTTAATACTTTATTTTACTTTGCTAAATACAACTGCAGGTCAGTTTATCTATCTTTTAACCTCTAAGCCAGTGGTTAAAGGTCGTACTTTGAAACCACTCATAGAACCTTAGAACTACCGATGCCTAAACCCAATCAAAGATTCTGATTTACTTGGTCTGAGATGTTACCTGAAGCCCTGGGATTTAAATGCTTTCCAAGTGACTATGACGTTCAGCCAAGGTGAGAACCACTAGATATGGATGAGACTCTATTGGCATCTCCCACTTTGGAAAATGATGAGGCCTGAATATATCAGAAGATGTCAGAGAGGAAAAAAGAATGGGGGTGAGAAGGTGCCCAAATTATGTAGGGTCTTAGAAGCCATCGTTAAGGTCTTTAGACTTGAATGTTAATAGAAGCTATGAGAGACTTCGAAGCAAAGGAGAACCATGATTTAGACTTTCAATTTACATAATCTTTCTGGCTGCTGTGCTGAGAATAGACTATGTAAGGGTAAGTGTGGAAAGTATAAAGACCAATCATGAGGCTTTTTTAGTACTTCACATGAAAAATGGTGGTGGTCTAGACCAATCTAGATATATTATGGAAAAAGATAAAAATATATTTATTCACAGACTGGAACACAGAATATGAAAAAAGAGAGCAGTTAAAGGTGACTCTAAAGTTTTTGCCTAAAGCAAGTGGAATGATGGAGCTGCCATCAACTGAAATAAGCAAGAATGAAGAAAAGTAGGGGTTAAGAACAAAAAATTCAGTACATGTCTGCACATGCTAAGTTTGAGATAAGAAACAGCTAATAACATACAAAGGGAAGCAGGGAAATATGGTCTCCTGAAAGCCAGGTGAAGAAAACTATTCAAAGAGAAATTAATTTGTCAAATGCTGCTAAGTAAGATAGGATCTGAGAATCAGCAATTAGATTTCACAATGTGGACACCACTGGTAACTTTTGTGTGTTTGTTGTTGTTTTTATTTTTAATATATCTTTATTGATTTCAGAGAGAGGAAAGGGGAGGGAGAGAGAGAGATAGAAACATCAATGATGAGAGCGTCATTGATCGGCTAGCCCGCAACCCAGGCATGTGCCCTGACCAAGAATTGAACCCCGATCGCCTGGATCCTAGGTCGACGCTCAACCGCTGAGCCACGCCCGGCCGGGTCCCACTGGTAACTTTTGATAAGGGTGCTATGAGGGATGAAAGTCTGACCAGAGGGTTCAAAACAAAATGGGAGAGGTAGAGATAGTGAGCACAGACAATTATTTCAAAAAGTTTTGCTATAAAGAGAAGAGGAGAAATAGAATAGTAGGTAAGAGGGTATAAAACGGCATTCAAAAGCTCTAGTATTTTAAATGGAAAGCCAGGCATATATGATACCGGAGGCATTTACCACACGTGCATGATAATGTAATCACACAGAACTACTGTTTGTTACTGTATTTTGTCTTTTTCAAAATGGAGGCTGTTAAGTAAATTCAATATTTAATGAAGTATTCAGGAAAATGGCCACCTTCTTCCCCATATACCTGTTCATGGCCTGTATCTTCAGTCCTTCCTCAATGCTGTGACTGAGTGCTTGCTGATTATTGTGCTTGTTGATCCTGGCTAACACTCGCTCTTGATGAGCTTCGTACTCATCACGACTTGGATAAATTTTGCTGATGAGTGCATCAAAGTTTGGGTCTGGCCTCAGTGATCTTTTGGAAACTAGCTTTTTCCGACATGTAGGACATTCTTTATTGCTAAATAAAAAAAGAGAAAACAACAATGTAAACAATGTCAGTACCTTTAAGCTAAAGACAAAAATATCTAGCTTCTGGAATAGTTACTATCTTTATTCTAATACTTTTACTAAGTCACAGAAATTTAAACTGATTAATCTAAACTTTCTTTAAAAATCTGACTAGTGGGTAAGCAAAATTTTGGAAACCTCAGGTACTCTATATTACTAGCCAACAGAGAAAAATTTGAATATTCCCAATGGTAAGTTGCATATAACCATTTTAGAAGTAGAAATCAACTCTTTCCTAATACAAATTTCCCCTTTCTGATACCCATGACATGTAAAGAAAAATTAACCACCTATATATTAACTTATGTTATCAATTTAATAAAACAGAATTCATAAGTCTATTATTTTGTATACTTAAGTAGAAAAACCATGGCTTCATGCTTTGTAATTTCCTCAAAACAAGTACACATCCTATAAAGCTTCTAAAATCATATAAAAGGAATTGTCTCAAAACAAAGATTCTCCAATAATTAAAACCTAGACTTTAGAAAAATTTCCAAGTCTCAAATGAATACTTCTAGAGAATGTATTTCTCAAAACCCATAGAGCACTGTCCTGGTATAGCTGAAGTACCTAGTATAACTCATTTCAACATACCCACTTCGGAGGGCTGTGATAATGCAGTCTGCACAAAAACGATGTAAACACTCCTTTGTAGTCATGGTATTCTTCAACATATCCAAACAAATTGGGCACATTAATTCACTGTGTAGACTTCGAGGTGAAACCACAATTTCTAAGCCATCTGTTATTGCCTCCTGTAAAAGAGGCAATTTAAAATTTAAATGCTACCGATATTTTTTATTATGGATAAGTTCAAATATACAAAAAGTACTGAGAATGAAAAAAATGAACATCTACATACCTATCACCCACCCAATACCACTGTCAGTTCACAGCCAATCTTGTTTCAGCTATAATTTCCCCCAATTCCCCTCACTGCATTATATAAATGCTCTTATTTTAATGCTAAAGATAATATGTTAATGTATTTAAAAGACAACTAATAGTAAATTAGCCTGGTATAATAAAAAAAGCACTGAATTTGGAATACGATGACTTAGGTTCTAGTTCTAGTCATATTAACTAGCTATATTGTTTTAAATATTTAACATTGTTTATTACCCTGCAAAAATGAGGAAGTTAGGGCTAAATAAACCCTGAGAATTCTTCCACCTTCAGAAATTACACCACTTTGATTATACACTGGCCCCAGTTATCTGTGGTTTCACTTTTCAAGGTTTCAGTTACCTTATAGTCAACCATGGTCTGAAAATATTAGATGAAATATCCCCAAAATAAACGATTCAGAAGTTTTAAATTGTGCACCATTCTGAGTAACATGATGAAATCTTATGCCATCCTGTTCCGTCCCACTTGGGACATGAATCATCCCTTTGTCCAGCATATCTACACTGTATACACTACCCCTGCATTGGTGACTTAAGAGCTTTCTCAGTTATCAGATCAGCGGTCTCAGTACCATACAAGTAACCCTTATTTTACTTCCTAATGGCCCCAAAACACAAGAGTAGTGATGCTGGCAATTCAGATATGACAGAGAAGCCATAAAGTGCTTTCTTTAAGTAAAAAGGTGAAAGTTCTCAATAAGGAAAGAAACTTATCGTATGCTACAGCTACTAAGATTTATAGTAAGAAGGAATCTTCTAACCATGAAATTGGCTAATTTATAAATTAAACTTTATCACAGGTATGTTTGTATTGGGAAAAAACACAGTGTGTGTGTGTGTGTATATATATATATATACACACATATATATAGGGTTTAGTACTATCTGTGGTTTCAGGCATCCACTAGGTGTCTCGGAACATAATCCTGTGGATAAGAGGGGACTACAGTAAATTATACATTTCATGCCATCTATTAAAAAGATTTTAAGATTCCAATACAAGTATTCTCTAATTGATGTACAGTTTAACAGTATTTCATTTTAAAATCACCTTTTTAACCTTAAAAAGTCTCTGTCTACAAAAGCAATTTTACACAGTGGTCAGTTTCTCAGGCTGACTTAAACCATAGTACATCTGAAGTATTTCTAGTGAGAAAATGCACTGAGTTCCAATGTACACGTCTCCCAGGTGCAGAGATCAGCGACTCCTGCTTCTTCCCTACCACCATTAATCACTCTTCCTACAAGGTGGCAATGAGAACAAATTACCTACCTCTAAAGCCACCCACACTGGCTGCAATGGAATAAGAGGTCCAGCAACTAACTACTAAAAAGAAAGATGCAAGTAGAAATAAAGGGCTTCCCATATGTTAATGACACTTCCTTGTTTCCACTACCTCTCCATCATACTTGCTTTTTCTACTGTGTCAAAACTGATGACCCCACAAGGAAAGACAGAAATTATAGATATTGTCCATATAGATACTGTCCATTATAGATAAGCCTGTACCTGTGCAGGTATGCAGCACTGTGGGGGTAAGACGGGCAAAATCTCACACCAGACTAAAACTTTCACCAGCCTCAAATGGGTGTTCAACACTGCTCAGCAATTGGTTTCTCTAACAAACTCACTTTTCTGTTCACTACACTATTGTATACCTTTTCTTCTATTTGCAGACCTTCTCCACCTGAACATTTAATACACTACCTCACCTCAAATTTCACTTAAAGAGCTCTCTCATTTTCTCTCTATTAAAACTTCATAAATCATAATCTTCTTTCTTGCTATAAGGAGAAAGTATGCCTCTTCCTATCAAAAGTACATTCCTCTCTACCTTTTCAAGTATTATCACTCTTTTGACTATTCTATCTGCTCTCAGACTTCAGCAATCTCTCTTTCACTAAATCAGCCTAGAGTAGCATCCCCATAGAGCTGCTACATAGAGAAACGTGAATAATGCACCTCAGAGCTGGCGGGGGGTGGGGGGTGCTGGGCAGGGGAAGGAGATGACACAGCTCTATCTCCCCTTATAAACAAAGTGAAATTTAAAACTTCCCAAATCTACGTTCCCCTCCAGTTTCTGCTCCATTTCTCTCCTCCTCTGCAGAACCAAACTTCTCTGAAGAGTTGCCTATGCATTTTCACTTTCCCCCCCTCAACACAGCAGCACAATCTACTCAAGTGAATCTCTTGAAAAATCACCAAGATCCTATTGCCAAAGTGAGTGTACACTTTGTAACGCTCACCTTACTCATCTTCTGAACAGTCAACACAATAGCCGAGTCCTCCTCCTTGAAACACTTCCTCTTACATTTTGGCCCTCTCTCCCATTTTCCTTACTTTTCTCTGGCTGTTCCTTCTCTGTCTCCTTTGCTGGATCCTTGTCCATTACTTAATTTCTAAATGTTGAAGCTCCTCTGGATGAAGTTCTGAGCCCTCTGCTCCTCTCTCTCTCTGTGATCTTATCCATTCACATTGCTTTCAATGCGCTGACAATCTCTAAAACTTAGTATTCAGTCCAGACCCCTAGTTAGCATCACTGCCTGCCTATCTTACAAGCATCGCAAACTTAAAATGAGTTCAGTTTTAAGTACGTTTATCTACTTCAAGCCCGCTTCCACTCCGTCTTTCCCATCTTTACCTTCGCAGAACAGTCTTCCCTACTTTCCCCACTGATTATTTATTACAGCACTAACAGCTTTTCCTTTACCCAACCTCTCAAATGTGTAATTCTATGGGTATTTATTTGTTTAATGTCTATAAACTCTAAGGGCCAGTGCTACATATTTTATTCACTGCTGCACATCGTGCCTAGCTTAGGACCTGTAGAGTATGCACTCAAATTATTTGTTGAATGAATGAAGTGTCAACCAAACATAAACAAATCAGTACTACTTGTATATAAATTTATTATTACTGTTAGGTTTTTTCAAGTTTTCATTTTCTAAAACTGCATCCCAATTTACATGTCTCATACTTCCCCTAAATTATCTTAATCTATATTACCTGAGGTGTTCGTTGTAATTCATATAAACTGAGTTCCCATGTTTTGCTTAATGGTTGAGTTCCATTCGTCTGCACAGCCTGAGACATTGCTAGGAATAAAAAGGAAAGAAAAACAATTTTAGTATCTGAAAGGGAAATAAATCTCAAAAGTGATTTTTAAGAACTGTATACCTGAGAGTAATAAAAATAGAAATTATGCACTGGCTCCTCAAAGATTATAAAGAAGAAAAGCTCGAGAATCTCTCCATTTATAAATACGAGCTACTAGAGAGCAAGAGACTATCACTGATCTCTGAATGCCCAAAAGCTGGCACACAGAAAGTACTTATTACTGAATGTACAGAAAAATGTTTTAACCCAAAACAATACTTCTGTTTTTAAAACTCATCGTCATGGAGCCTGGCGGTGTGACTCAGCGGTTGAGCATGGACCCAGGAACCAAGAGGTCACCAGTTCGAATCACAGTCAGGGCATAGGCCCGTGTTGCAGGCTCGATCCCCAGTAGGGAGCGTGCAGGAAGCACCCGATCAATGATGTTTCTCTCCTATAGATGTTTCTATCTCTCTATACCTCTCCCTTCCTCTCTCTCTAAAAATCAATAAAAACATATTTAAAAAAAATAAAATTCATGGTCATGGAGCTAAATCAGGAGAATTTCGGACTCTACAGCATGGCCATCTAGTTCAACTTTTACCAAAGATACAAAATCTCCTTTCTAGTACTTTAAGCCACTGGTTACTCTGTTCTTCAAGCCTCAGGAAAAAACTGGTAAACCAGAACCTAACCTGCTAGGGTATTATCTAGAACCTAACTGACCTGGGAAAGAGAAATACCCAACTTCTGCCCATTCTAGCCAGCCTGTCCCCACGTACTGGGAGTGAAGGGGAGGGGAAAAACTAAGAATCACTTGTGAAACACACAGTCCAGAGGGACAGGCTCACCGAAAGACTGAGACCTAATTATAGGACTATAGAGCCCTTTCCCTCCCACCACACCTCACGACATTATTACTGAAGGCCTGCTTAGAGCAGTTCCTTTTTCATGGGACATCATGTCCTGCTATCTAGAAAAAATTACAAGGCATACCAAAAGGTAAAAAAAAAAATTTGAAGAGACAAAGCAAGTGTCAGAACCAACATGCAGGGATGTGGAATTATCAGATCAGGAATTTAAAACAACAATGATTAGTATGTTAAGGGCTCTAATGAATAAAGGAGACAGCACACAAGAACACATGAGCAATGTAAGCAGAGACATGGAAATCCTAAAAAGAACCAAAAAGAAATGCTAGACACCAAAACCACTGTAACAGACATGAAAAATGCTTTTAATGAGCTTATCAGCCTGGATAAGGTTAAGGAAACAATCTCTAATCTAGAGGACATACCAATAGAATCTTCGAACACTAAAAAGCAAAAAGAACAAAGATTGAAAAAAAAGAGAACAGAACATCCAAGGACTATAGGATGACTATATAACATGTAACTTATATAAAATGGGAATACCAAGAGGAGAAGAGAGAAGGGAATAGAGAATATCTGAAACCATAACAACTGAAAATCTCCCCCAAATGTACGTCAGATACTAAAACCGCAGATCCAGAAAGCCCAAAAAACTACACCTTGGCATATCATTTTAAATCACAGAAATTTAAAGATAAAGAAGCCAGAGGAAAAAGGTTTTACTTGCTTGGGTAGGAAAAAACAGATGCAAAGTACCAAGTATGTCCCATGTTCAGGACTTCCTTGTTTTGCATTAGTTACTTACACCTGCCTACTCCAATGATTTAAGTAACTTTATATCTTAATTTTTTCTCCTACACCCAGAAATGAGCCTACTTTGTAATAAGTCTGTTTTTCAATAAAACTTAAATGAGTAATTTAAGGCATTTAGAAAGGGGGGGAAATGAACCTTAAATGATACATAAAGGGAAAGAATTACTACTTACCAATGCTGTTCTTAAATGATTTAACCAGGGATATTGGAAGTGGAGTATGTATATGTACTCATGAATTACATAAAAGCTTTCTAGGGGGTGAAATGTAGAACTTGGTTAGTTTTAAGAGAATTTAATTTCAAGATTATCAATTCTCCTGAACCACTTTTACCATAATTGATATGCCTGAAAACAGGTCCTTTTCTCCTCACCCCAGTCCTTTCTTAAAATTACATATCATTCATTTACTCATTCAAATACTGATTATCTACTGCACCCCAGGCACTGTATAAGGTGCTAGAATAAGAGAGTAAACAAAACAAATACGCATACAATTAGATTTTTCTTAAGTGCTATATAAAAGATATTAAAAAAAAAAAAAGAGCATTGGGCTAGATAATCAAGAAAAGGAGGTATTTAAGATAGGAGCATCAAGGAAGAACTTTCAACGGAACAGACATGTAATACAAAAAGGTCAGTGTGGCTAGTAAGTAAAGGGAAAAATATACACGAGGTTACAGAGAGGCCACAATGGTGATCTTCCCAAGAACCAAATGGGGCCAAGTAGAGGGGCAAAGCCACACTGGAATGGGTAAATAGGAAAGCAAAAGTGAAATAAGTTCTTTATAAATGAATAAAATGAAAATACTACCTTATTGAAGTGTATGAAATATGTAATAAGACATCTCCCTCACAAATATTTATAACCTTCAATTTTTTAAATAATAAAACCATAAAGACTGAAGAAAAATGAACCATTAGAAATTAGAATTAAACCTAAAGGGGGAAATGATCGCTATAAAAGCATAAATCAAACAGAAACAGCAACTAAAATACAAAAATAAAAAACAAATGGAAAAAAACAACAAATGGACTGGTTCACAAAAGCAAAATTTAGTTAAATTTTCTCAAGATTCCCATTTAAAAAGTCAGGAGTAAAACAAGATTGTCCTACAACACTCTGCTGGAAGTCCTAAATAACGCCACAAAATTCAAAAAGAGAGAGAAACATGGAAAAGGAAATGACAAAAGTATCAGCTGCAGATAACATGACCTAGAAAATCCACAAACAAAAAACATGCCCCCAAAAACCATACATTTCCTATAAACCAGGAATAACCATTCAGAAATGTAAAAGACATCAAAAGCAAATTTAAAAGATAAGTGATGAGAAAATATTTGCAACATATGTTACAAACAAAAGCCAATATAATCTCTACAGACTCCTCCTCCAAGTCAATTTGAAAGACAACTCACTGCAGGAGAAATGATAAATGAATAACTAACAGAAAAATACTAGTGGCTAATAAAATTAAATTGTGCTTGGCTTCACTAATAATCATTAAACTGCAAATCAAAAAAAAGCTATCTATAAATATGTTTGATTTTTTTTGTCTGTGATATGGACAAAAATTTAAATGACTGATAATATCCAACGTTAGAAAAGCTGTACAGAAACAGGAATTCTCAAACAATTGAAATGTACAGTGGCATGGTTATGGGGACACAGCAATTTGATATTTAAGGCACATTAGAAGTGTACTCCTTGACATGGAGACTGATTTAATCAAGGCATGTAGGACTATTATGAAAATCTCTATGGAAAAGTCCCCACTTTTTAATTTATTATCTGTGATCAACACACAATTAAGTACTGGAATATGTCATTATTTTATCCATGTTCTTTAGAAGTGTAATAGCAGACACATCAGCTCCTAGAACTCCAGTACAACATGTTTTTTAACACAAGTTCCTTAAACTCTAAAATAATTCCATTTATTTATCCTTTAAAAAGTCTCAACTGTTGTAAATCAAAAGACTATCTGAAAAATAGATGCTAATGAAGAGAATACACCAAAGAACTGTCTCTGCTCTTTAGCCAAATCAAAAAATAACACTCATAGTATTGTACTGGCTGAATCCTCACTTCTCAGTATTGCCTCCGTCAAAATTTTAATGTGCTTAAGTTTTGACCTCATGATAGTTCTCCTAGGAAATCTATCCAACAAAAATTCTTATATAGATATGAAAAAATATATGTACAAAACCTGACAGCATTATTTATAATATCAAAAAAATCATAAAAGTCTATATATGTCGGTCAATAAGAATATGGCTAATTATGATATATCCATAGTACAGAATACTCTGTAGCTGTATGTCTGACATGGAATTCAACATATGTACACAAAATAAAGTTTTTTTTTAAAAAGCTGTAGAGAAAAATGTGTATCATGATCCTATTTTAGCAATTAAAACAGAAATCCAAACACCTAAATAATGTTTGCGATTTTGAGCTCTGTTCACCATGTGTCAGCCACATTTGTCATCCTCTTTATCAATTTTGCTCATTCTCATTTTAGAATCTTCACTAGCCCATCCTTCTACCTGGAACAGAAGGCTCTCTTCCCCAAAGACTTTCCCAAAGCTAGCTCCTTCATGCAGTCTAACAAAATTCTAACTTTGTCACTCTTTCATGTCTTTCCCCCCACTCCCCACCATAGCATACTTATAGCCTATAAGCTATCTATCTTATTCTCCACAACATCCCTGTTACCGTGTACTGTGCCTGGCACATAATAGCTGTTCAATAAATATTTGCTAAGGAACTCAACAACAGTTATGATTAAAAGAAAGGAGCTCAAATTAGGCAATATTAACAGTATTTCACCTGTTCATGACTTAAAAAAAAAGTCACTTCAAATTAACAGGGAAAAGGGAATACAAAAGGAAGATTTATCAGTTGGGTCTATTTACTATGCATAGAGAAAATATTTTCATGTTTCTGCATGGTTAGGGCTCTAAGCAAAAAAATCTGTCCTTCAAACGACAAGTCTTAAAACACAGATAACTGAATAGATAAGAGATTTATCTCTCTAAAAGTGTTTATATTTCAGGAGGGATGAGACTAGGAGACTATGGAGACATTCCAGGAGTCTTAAATTTTGAGACTTAGAAAAATTCATTTACATTCCAAAGATTAAGAACCTAGGATCCCCCCCTTCTCAACTAAGGAGAACTTGTTTACATTAGGGACAAAGATTTATCTCCTCTCAGGACTCAAGGTGAATAACAAGCACACAAGCTCCCAGACTCATATTTTTTAGATTCTTTGCCTACCAAATGAACATCTGGCTCTCACTGCATTGCTGG